TATCCAGTATATAAGCAATAAAAGTTATTCTTATGATTTCGATGTACGCCGGAGGGATATGAGCCAATTTCCGACCGATTTCCATTATGCGATTATCCCCATGGAAAGCCCTGGGAGAAATTAACTCCTTAAACCACCAAACGACTACATAAGACTTGCGCGTTTCAAGTGACAAACTGTCAAATTTATGTAGTCACGAATTCCACTTACTTAGGGACTACGGCGTGTTCTTTCCCTTAGACTAAATTAGGCGTTCAGGAATAAGGCAAAAACGGAGATTAAAGTTGCTGCACTGACTGAATAAAGCCCCTTTTACTTCAGTCTGGAATCGGCCAGCCAACTACGCCACTGTCTTTGACAGTACTGCGATTGAAAAATTAAATTCGCGTTAACACAGACAGGTACGCATATTTGTGGATAACTTATTAAGAAAAAATCCCTGGGCTTCGAGACCCGGTCGAAAAACTTAGAACTGCACGGGACTTAAAGCGGCTTATGGTCGATTTCAATGAGATCAACAGTATGCATGGACGGTGACTTCCAAGTGGTTGTTTTAAGTGATAGTGGAGTTGCTCTGTATTTACCGCACTCTCAATTCCCCCCACCCAACTTGGTTAAGATAACATCTGAAATACCGGAGGCACAGATCGGGCGTAGATGGCTGGCGCGGTCTGAGCTTGTACCCACGTGTGCCACCAACGCCCTCCCACCAGTGTAAACCAAATAATGCTTGCCTGATTGCACCCCCGCGTTGGTCCAACGCACCCACCGCACGTGGCCCGTTTAGGGGGCACAGGAGGCCTATCAACCTTCACTGTCGATGATGCCCACCACGAGCAGACGCCGCGACTTCAGCTGGATTATGGTGAATGTAGACTCGCAGGATCCACCTCATTCCTTCACCACTGCCACACCTGTGTTCTATATCAAGACAAGAGTTGCGAAGACTGGAGACTGCACTTGCCTTGCGCAGCAAACACTCTTATACGCGAACCAACAGCTCGCCTAGCATCCGCGTGTGTGGGAGCGCCATAAAAGTCACATAGAGAAGGATCCATTGCAGCCTGACTCTCAGTCCGCCAGTCAGCCACTCCAGACAACTAAACACACACTGGACTGACTGCACGATCCCATCCTCTGGCAACCCTCCAAGCTTGTAGTGCAACGGGATAGCTTCGAGCGCGTCAGAGTGATTATAGTGAGGAAAGAAATGCGATGAGGATCGACCTCGCTTCCTCCTCTTCCACCGCCCAGCGTACTGGTCACCTGAAATGGGATCAAAGCAGTGGCTTAAAGTGCCAGCGAACCCGTCTGCACGCGCCACAGCACGACAGCCTGCTTGACA